CGGTAGAAGCTGCTCCAAGTTTCAGTTCCTTGAAAAAAAGAGATTTGATTGACTTACTTTGATCATCCTTTTAAGTCGTTTCCTTCCTCCCTATAGCATTTTATTCCTCGTTTATGAGCAGTTAAATATTTACTTTTTGAATTCTCCAATTGTGCTCACTTGCATGGTTGGGTGAAGAAAAGGACCCTCAACTGAACTTCTCATTTTTCGGCTTGTGCACGAACCATGTTTCTTGACAACGCTCACATCAAGTATTCAACTGCCCATTTTATTGCATGACAGTTTGTGGAGGTCAGTTGAACCGTTCGAAGGAAACCTGAAAACTGGTACCTAAATAGGAGATGAATCAGAATGAACATTTTCAAGTCCTTCTCTTGTTCATCATACTTTCAGTTGTTACTTCGCTTTAAAACCTCAACGAATAAACCATTAGGGTTATGGGAAATAGTCCTAAATTTACAATTTCATGCAAGCAAAAATTTATGGCTATCTCTCTTCACCAAAATGGTTTGTTATTCACGAACAGACCAGTTCTGTTTTGAGCTTTCGAGCCCATACCAATATGCATAAATGCACAGGTGAAATGACAAATTGTTTAGCGCTACGTATATCAGAAAGACATGGCAAATTTTATAATAACCTGTTTAATTATTAGTGTACTATACTGAGAGTTGATTGCTTTTTATAGAGAGACACCACTCGGATGATCGGATGTTTGATCTGCACAAAATTGATCACTGTGTGTGTGTTACACCAATACTTGAACGGAGAGAGGTAAGCGCTTGCAAAATGTTTTTCCCGGCACTTTATTGAGAAAAACAGCGCTCCGAGAGTACAAAGATGCTGATAAGAGGAAAACGCAGTTGGCGACTAGCTTTGGATCTGTGCTGATATTGATAACACAAGCAATATTTCTGTTCGATGTAAATCTCCGGTAACCAGAATGGTGCACATTCAAAACTTTCTCGAGGCTCTGTACGATACTTTGCATTAATGCATAAATATGTAACATCCGGCAAAAAATGGAGAAGGATTCCAAAGTAGCGTTGGAAGAAGTTAGTTTACACGTACTGAAAGTTGATGGGGCCTCACTGAATAGCGGCGATGGAGAGGGTTGATCGCAGTCCTTGCGGAATCTCAATTTCTGATTAGGTGATCAGGGTGAGGATTGTTCTGAAGAGGCACTGGGATAATTACCTATGTTGCCTACTGTACATAATTCATGAGAACAAAAATTTGAGGTCGCTAAGTTCAACATGCACCAACTTTCATCACCTTGGAACAGTAAGTTTATTTGCTTCGATAGTCACCACTATGGCAATTTAAAGGACACGATTAGATCGTGGTTTGTCTTGTCTCTGGTGAGCAAATTGCAGACTGATATAATGGATATAATTGTGGCTTAATAAATGATCGTATCCCTTTCGAGACGAAATGAATGAACGGTTTTGAAACAAAAACACATGTTTAGATGCTTTTGTCCACTCATATATTTAACATTATTACCAAGTAAACCGCTTTAAAAATGGACCAATCCAAATCGAGTAAACCGGAACAAAAACGTTCTCCACCAATCATGTACGGTTGATTGCACGAAATTTTTCAAGCATTTTGGCATCAACAGATTCCGGATGGAATGATGCGCGAGAGGAGGAGCAAGGGAGGGGGCGATGGTTTGGGGTAGGAGGCGAACAGTGTAAAAAAATGACAAACAGGTGAATTACACGCAGTCGTGTGTTAGTGGTGTTGGTGGTGGTGTTGGTGGTGATAATATCGCTACTGATGCTTATCCGGAACGATGATCGTGATGGCTTATGATTCAGCGGATCAGATGCATTCATTAAATTACAGCCACTCCTGTTTTGGAGCAGTGACCTTATTATTTGCGATTAAAAGTTGGACGTAGAAAACGAATCAAGTGAGTTTTGTGAGCCACGCTCCTATATATGTGTTTACCTTCAAAGTAGTTTGGGAAATCCAAATTGTTCCTTCTAGCGGCAAAAACGAAAGCTTCCCAATTTGTTCAGCATTAATCTGAAATATTGAGATTCAATTTTTGAATGAATTTTTGTTTGCAAAAATTCAGTTTATATGATAATTTTACATAAATGTGTGATTAGGTGGTTTGGATGTTCAACTTGGAACTTTCATGTTTCCAGTCTGCGGTACGGGATTGAGAGAGGATTGCTAGGACACATAATTCATTGGGTTTTCGACTAATCACTCAAGTTTTATTGCTATTACAACATTACCCTCCCGTGGAAAGATAAATTTAACAATCACCAACAAACCTTTAATTTACTTGACATTTTTCAGACTAAATACTTGCCTCTATGCTGCCGATCGACAGACAATTAGCCAAATGACTAACAAAATATTTAAAACACCTGTTCAGTCTAAGTGTTAGCAGTTAGCAACACCTGGTGCACAGACCGATAAATGTACATATATTGTTTGGTATTTTGATCAGCTTCTAGCGGTTGTGGCTACCTAAAGGTTGAGAGGAGATATGAGTGGGAACTGTCGTTCAACTTAAGATTTTCGCTTATTAGTTTCATGTGCAGTTTACGGTTATATTTTTAAAACAAGACCTAGAATAATACCACTAGTGCGGTGGTGGCCCGGTGGTAACGTCAACAAATTATCACCCCGGGGATGCGTGTTCAAATCTCACTATCACCGCCTGAAATAACCCATTGTGAGTTAAATGGCAGCCCTTCGATTGGTCACTTCCCCCTTCCTGAAAATTGTATTTTCGTGTATTCAATGAAAAAGTAAAAAAAATGGAAAAATGAAAATATGAAATTCTCAAAGAATCGCCACTCTGAATAATATTTCGTTGGAAAGTATTTTGGTGGTTAAAGAGCGACAACTCATTGCGGTAATTTTCACTTCTCCCGTCACTGTTTTATCCATAGTTGAAATATGTTGCGCCAGAAAATGAGGTCTTCAATCTACAGAAAATATACTCTTGGTTGTAAATAGAAAACCATAACCTTGAGCACAAGGATTATTCCATTCCAATAGCTGAAACCCTAAGTAGCACAAAAACGGTCCTCTTATGTGCAAACATTGACAATGCATATAATGAGACGGATTTTTCGGGGCGTCTTGTAAATAAATAGCAATCACACGAAGCTCATTTCGTTCCTTTGACACTTGCCCCAAAAATTCAAAATGGATGAGGACCATATAATGGTAGACAAGATTATGGTCAATGAGGCGAAGCGGCTGATCCCATTGTTGGAGCCATAAAATAACCTGCTGCATTCTTTTCCTTTTGAGCAAATTCAGCTCAATCTCTCCTTTGGCTGATTTTTCGTTTTTATTTCGTGATGAAAAAGCTGATGGTGGTCTGGAGCTCAGCAAATTTATCGTTCGGAGAACAATGTGTCAGCTGTCTCACCTTCACACTGGCATCAAAAGGTTTTCGTGTTATCTTCAAATGAGAGAGCTAAATAGTGGTTAACTTCTACAAAAACAGAGGCTTTTCTTGCTGAGCTGATTTCAGGCAGCAGCCGTTTAAAGTCGTTTAAAGAATAGAAACTTGAGTTTACGTTAATCTCTTCGTGTATACACTAAACCGCGCGCTTGTATGTGCATAAACCACACAACAGCATTAAGACAATCTGGATACTACTGAACTAATGAAGATATAGAGCAAGGGCTTCGGCAACGAGTTTGAAGGAGGATAGAAAACATCTTTTCTCGAGAACTGAATTAGCCATATAGCACTCCATTTCGAGCAACGTTATGATTAGGACTTTGTTGAGAACTGAAATATCAAATTCGCAGAACACGCAGTGAACTCAGTCAATCAATGACATTTGATGACTACACCTGTAACACGTTGCTTGAATGCTTCTTTCTCAAGCTAAAACCATAGGAAACCACAAGATATTCACTAGTTGATTGTTTCACTATGTTTGGAAGACATCTTGTCTACCGTATATGTTTGAGCAGTCCTCTAAATTCCTACTGAATGTCACAAAAATAATCCTCAGTGTTGTATTCAAGTAATCTATAAGAAGTTAAAGAGTAGACTTGTGTTGGTATGAAGATTCACTAAGGCAGGAAATCCAAAGTTTTCATACTTGTGTTGCGTGCACCCAGACGTTTGCACTTAATGATTCAGTTAGTCAATAGGCTTCTGGCCTTACGTACTATCACATTCTCCACCCAATTACCGGGCTTGCTTCCCAAAGAATATATTTCTATTTTCGGTAATTTTGTTCTTTTTTATGTTAATTTTTAATAGATTCAAACGTGGAAGAATTCTGTAACCAGCATTTTGCTGAGATTCCGAATACTCTTAACATATGATCGAACTTGTGCCGTTATCTGTCGGTGGAGGAACTTGTTTGCACATAATACGGTTCACAAATTTTCATCTGCACACACATCTCTCAGTTGCTCTATAACTTCAAACTGGTCTATCATGAATTTATCTCACATTTACTATAACCGTAGACATTGGTATTAAGTCACAGGTACGCACCAATGATTGATCATTCACCACTAGATATAAAAAATTGAATATTCGACACTCCGAAGCAATGTGCGTGAAGGCCGTTAAGTACAGTACTGTATAACCTTTTCGACCTTTTGGAGGGTTGTACCCACAACAGAACTCAAATGAAGAACCTCCGGGTTGAGAGCTCAAACACTCATCCGTGAGCTACACGCTTGACGGTTATTGGTTTCGAAGATGACGCTGTTTTAACCCATGCGAATTTACAGATGCCAGAAACTGTGTATGTGGCTATTCTTGTATATTTGTGAATTGGCAACTGATAAAACAACAGCATCCTCTATACCTGACTAAAATGAATTCCAAACTGAAGTGCCAATATACCAAAGTAGATTAGTTCCTTTGATTACTGGAAAAATATTTCATAGACTGTAAGATAACTACTTCATGCTTACGCTTCCCTTCTGAGCCTCTATTTGTTTCAAACATCTCTCTTCTCTCAAATTTACATTAAATTACTAAAGGCATCATGTCAAAAGCATTTGATCGGAATGCATCATCGAGCACTAGCCATGAGAACAGACTCACCGATCGGGAGGTCAGCCCCAAACCAAGTTACCCCAAAATGACAAACGATTACAAGAACAATCCGTTTTCAGTGGAATTTCTCCAATCTGACCACCTTACACCAAACATAGTGCTCCCTCGCCTAATGCACGAGATGGATACAGTGGAACATGCATACTTACCGGCACACTTCACCAGCGACCTGTCCAATGAGTTGCAATCAGTTAACACCACCAACAACAGCGGTTTTCATACATGGTCCGCTGCCGAGCACAGTCGAATGACTCAAAATCGTGAAAATACTCCGTTTACTCCGTATTCCGAAATATGTGGTAAGGGAAGGGAGACCTATTATGACAATTTTTCTGTGCTACTTAAAATTTAATTACATCACTTGTTTTAAATGAATTCACAGCCTTATTTTATATATATATATATACATATATAATAACTGAAAAAGTTTGCTTATTGAATAAAAAGATTGTTGTGAATCAAAACGCACTTAACTAAATAGACTACCATTGGCGAAAATGAAATACTCTCTTACTATTTGAAGTTATTCCTGCATCATTCAGTCTAATCAGACACGAATAAAAAACAGTTTAAACCTTCACACTTGATAACGAGAATGGTCAATAATACCGGTTTCTCGATTCACTCTGCAATGATGTTATGCTACAGCCCTGTTATATATCCGCCGAATGTCATTTTTACTTACTGACGCATAAACGAAATGTTCAAAATCTCGGTGATGATTGAAAAAGAGCGCTGAACAGGTGTTTCGTCCCGCTTGGAACTCGTCAGTAGTGCGTACATTTAGTGTCCATTCCGAGGCCCGAGATGTAAATGAACCTCTGGGAGGGAAGTCGAAGTCTTTACCCCTGATCTACACGGTCTAAGGTCACCACTTGAAAACAGTGACACAATAAATTAAGCAGATCGTGCTTGTATTATCCCATTCGATTTTTTAGAACCACCAGGCATTATTTATGGACTTCGGTGTCAGCAGTGCTTGGTGCAACTAAACAATCCATTGGGCTAATCCAAACTGGATTTTATAAAACCTCATATATTATGTAAACGAAGGATGCCATTCACACGATTATACTGAATGCATTAACGTTTCTTAAAAGTATTCAAGCCACTACTACATTAATCAACAGAGTGATCAGATGCGGAGTAGTTCTTGTTGAGTTATAGCACTTACCGCGTGATACAATGAGAGTGAGGTTTGCTCTTCATAATGAGCCGGCATCAATGGGCTGTTTTGTGCCATTTGTGAACAAAATACGTCAGTTTGGACAGCCAATCAAATGCTCAGTACGTGTGCGTTTCGACTGAAAAGTTACACCTTTTGTCTTTCATGGAGTTTATTAATTCGATTAGATGATGATAACCCATTACAATGGATTCAGATGTGCAATGTTCTCAGGTTTCTCCAGTTCATGTTTTCTTCGGTCTATAAACAAAGAAACAGATTTAAAATTTGCAAACCAGATGCAACTAGTTCATTATGAGCTGAATTGGGAACACTTTTAACAGGAAATTTCGCGGTCCTCTAGCGCAGTCGTGCGAGATGGGTGTATTATATAACTTTCGCTCAATCTGTTTGAAACCTACCCCTGATTTTACTCAATTCAAGAAAGTTCTAGAGCTGGTACGCTAAACCCATTCTCCGTAATAACAGGATTTGGTTAGTGACCCCAGAATTTACATGCTTGACCTCTACGGCAAGATTTTGTATCAGTTTTCCAAGGGTTTCTACTTCAGTAATTGTTTTCCGATTCTCTTGTTTGACGAAACATTTGAGCTCAAAACTTAACTGTGCGCCAAATCGGCAGAATTGGAGTAAGTCAAACAAAAGACCATATCATCTGACTAGTTGACGACAGAGACGCAGAGACGTTAACTGCCAAATGACTTATATGCGTGAAAAATGAGTATG